TTCCCCTTCCCCTTCCCCTTCCCCTTCCCCTTCCTTTTTGCATTATTTTCATGCCTTTCTCTGAGAGTCTTACAACAGCAGAGTGTTGTTGTAAGATATATATTACATATATATCTTGTATATATATGTTGTAAGATATATATTCCATATATTAAAATTATGGAATCTTTCATTTTCATGAGAACCTAGGAATTTTTAAAATATAGTTTTAAAATATTTACTACCACAATTTGTGTGGTCATTCCCTGCCTTATATGCTAAGAAACAAGAAAGTTCCTTACCTAATGCAGCTGTCTTAACATCTTTTTTAAGATGATGCTGGAACTGTAGCTGCTAGGAGAAGGTCATTGCAAAGCATGTAATGTAACATTATAAATAATTGTACAAGTTATCAAGGGGAAGAAAAAAACTTTGAAACTTCTAAGATCTTCCATTCATGAAAATGGTAAAGAATATAGCAGAAATTGAGCAAAAGTTGTCACAAAGCACAGTACATTTTGTCATTTAATGCATATGCAAGAATATTTCCTTAGGTGACTGTACTGTATAGAGGAGGCACTCTGAAGCTGCAGAAAAAGGTACACAAGGAATAGTGGGATGGCCTTATTGCCTAAAAATACTAGCACTGCTGCATGTCAGACCATGACATGACAGAACATATATAGACTACTGACTTCCAGGAAATAATAGTGGAGCAAAATATTCAGGTTTACTCTTCACCCCAAAGCAACACCTTAGCTGAATGCTGGTTGCAAATGTTTTACATGCGTTGGATATTACACTGTAAGCATTGAATAATTCTTGGTGCTACTCTTGCTTGGCCAACAAGTAGGGTCAACATTTCCTATCGTAAATGATTGTGTTTGGATATCTTTTATTATGTGTAGAAACTCTGAAGTCAGTGTGTATGTAGGATTACTTTAGGCTTTTTTATGCAAGCAAAGCCTTGTATCATTGAATCTAGCCTGAGAAAGCTTACAATTCCTCATGCAGGAACTTAATGACATAACCTGCTGGACAGAGAATTTACAAGACATCTGGAGAAGTTATGACCTCTTCATGACGTAATGAGCTCTATCCCTACTTTGTGTTTGTGCCTTCCAGCTTTGCACTTTTTCTGACATTTTAACTTTTTGTACTATTTCTCTCTTTCATATTGGACCCGCTGTTTTCTCAATGGTTCCAGTCCTTTGTTTCTTTTCTAATGTTTCATAGTCTACTTGTGCAAAGTACAATTTTTTCTTAAAGTAAACCTAAACTGAGATGCATGGCTATGGTCTTCAAAACCAACTTTTAGGCCCTGTCACCTGAACACTTGGTTGTCAGGAAAATAAAAAGGGGGAAATCAATCAATATGAGTTGACCCTGCAGATCTTCATCTTCAGCCCTTCGATTGCTCCTTTTGCTCTCACTCTAGTAACTAGCAAGACCACATTTCTGGCATGCCTAATCTGCTCCTTATAGTATTTCCAGTGAAGAATTGATAAAGTTGTTTCATTGATTACTGAACTGCATGGCAACACTACCTTGCTTCGTCTCATTGCATATATGAAACTTATGGCTTATGCCCAGGAGAAAAATCAGGCAGCGGATGTCACCAGCTTCATTACTACAGACACACTTCTCTTTTCTTCGCAGACACCTCAATATTTAGATATTTAATTATATGTTTAGGTCCTTCTACTGCCAACTCGGCTAGCCTTTATATGGCTTAGGATTTTTTTCATAAGCAGTTTTAAAGAGAATTTCTGGCCTTCCTCATTCAGATTTTAAATAATTCACATACATTTTTTTTTTACCCTTGAATTTCATGCTGGCAGTATGCCTAGTAGTTCTAAAGAGTCTGTACACTGATGTTTATCACAGGACACCATTGAGATCACAAAACAGAATGGATTAAATTTCATCACCAATTAATTTCAGAAAAAAGAAGATAGTCACAAGCAGCACTTCAAGCAGAGGCACAGAGTATTTTCTGCTGCTAATTTTGATGTTAACACCTAGGGAAGCATATAGTTCTGCTTTTATAACCATTAATTATGTGCTGAAAATTTTCAGAGAATATTATTTTTTCCCAAATGCTTTCTTTCATTTGATTAAAGCATCACTTTGTAGCAGATGTACTAAAAATTTTTAAGGAGCATATTCTATTCTCTAACTGGCTCTTCCATGTCCCCCAAAATTCAAAAAAACCAAGGCAAAAAAACCTCAAAAAATCATGGGCCTAAAACAGTTGGTTGTTCTGAAAACAAATGTGTTGATTTATTTTGTTCTTCTTTTTAGCATGAGATGTGTGGTGTGCTATTTCTAAATAAATGGTGCCATAAGACAAGCATATGTTGTTCTATATCATGCACTGCAGGTGCTGCAGTACAAGGTTGCATAATGTGCCACCTGAAACTCACAGAAGCAATTTTCTTTAAAACGCCAGATTGCGGAGGCCTAGCTCATGCTGATAAGCACCTACTGACGCAAGCAGTTCCATTAAGGCCCCTCCTTTCAAGTAAGTGAGAACTCACATCACTAAGTTTTATAGGCCATATCTGAGCCTCCAGTGCATTTTGGCATTAAAAATCACATACTGACTCATATATTTTTAGATTCTCTATCCATATAAACTATGTAGAATATGGAAGTTTTTGGCAAGAATTTAGGATTTAAAATGTTACACGTTACAATATTTATTAGATTAAATCTTATAAGCACAAAATCCAAAAGACCCCTGCTGTAAGTGCAGTCTTTTACTTAAGCTAACATTGAACCTTATTGATATATAGGTCACATAGTCTTTTAGGTAGAAGACAGGACAGAGGACTTACAAATACTTGCCATATATCAAGAAGAGCAGTCTTAGGCAGACAGTAACAGTATCTATAAGGGAAGGTGGGTAGGAGACTCATGGTGGTTTTCTGACCCAGACAAGTAATTCAAGTTTGTATTATAAAATACAATACTTCTCTATTTATAGAATGTGGAATTCTGCTGTGCTGCCTGTGATAAACTGTTTTAATCTGTACTGAAATGATTTCTGTTTAGCTCTTCCCAAGCCTGCTGCTTTCAGAATCTGAATTCCTTGTGATAGAGACCACTGCACATTTATTTGGCATAACATGAATTTTCTGCCTGTAAAAAAACAAGGACAATTCCAACAATATTGTTGGGGTATTCAGTTTTGAAAATCTTCTCACAACACCTATGTAGACAATTGTGGAGGAAACTAGACCTGATTTAGACAGAATTGGTAAGTTAGACATCAATTGCCTAGATTGAAAGCAGTTGTGGTGGTTTAACACTGGCTGCAAATTAAACTCCCACTGCTCCCCATTCCTCACTCCTTCCAGTAAGAGGGACAAAAGCAGAGACTATGGGTTGTGATAACAATTTCATGAAGGAAAAAAACAGTGGAATAAGAAATTCACAGTAACAGCAGTTAACTAACAACAAAAGTATGCAAAGAGAGAAGGTGCTTTACCCTCAAAAAAGGTGTTTATCATCTTTGCTTCATTCCACATGGCTGCTGGGACAAAGACAACATGGCAACCTTTCCTGTGAAACCTGTTCCATGCAATTTCCTCAGACAAAAATTAAATGGGGGCCATTCCTGCCCTTTGTGCAGCATGGCTGTGAGGAAAGGCAAGATGGGGGCAAAGGGCCATGGCTAGTGGTTCCCATCCCTGAGCCCCAGACAATGTAAAACAATGGACAAACCCCCAAAAGCTCCATGGTCCACATCATGCTGCCCACTTTCCCAAACTACTGTGCTCAATTGTGGTTCTAAGTACTTGGCTCAGCTCTTCCCTTTGCACTTTATCTGCCCCAGTTTCACTCCTCACAGCTGTTCCTGGTCCTCCACTTCTTTTCCCCCTCAAGCTTCAACTCCCCTGGCTGTGGGGCACCCACATGGGGCTTGGACACACTGCCAATGATTTTTTTTCTTTAAGTGGGGCATGCATTCCAATTGGCTCAGGCTTGCCACTTCTTTTCTCAGAGCAGCATCTCGGGCTCGTTGTTTCTTTCCTTCAGCACCATGTTTTGGAAGTGCAGCTTGAAGGGACAGGAAGGGGACCAGAAATTACAGCAGAAGACTGGGTCTGCAGAGGATGATCTTGACATCTCTCCACTCAAGAGAGGGAAGGAAAACTATTAACTTATTGGGTTGTGCTTGCACTTTCTTCCTGAAACCATGATCCCCATCATTAATGTGGGTGGTTTAGAAGCAAAACCCAGGCACACCCTGGTGCTAAGCTCCACCCCTCCCTGAAAACAAGACTTAGGAATGACAATTCTGGAAGCTGTTTTCAAACTAAGAGGAATGTGCAATGTGAGCATGGAGGCATAATGATTGTAATCTCAAATGAGGCAAACAAACTGAGGTCCAGTTGCTAAAGCTGTTACTAACGTAAGCATTACAGAGGAAATAAAGAAAAATTCCTCTAGATTTTTCTCATTGTGTTTCCAACGAAAGACCACTCTGCATATGATCATCATATCAAATTGTCCAAATGCAATGCAGACAAAATATTTTATGCATTGACTTAAGTGACATAGTATTGCTTCTCAGATGATAATTGCAGGTTTGCTTTACACAGCTAGATTTTGACAATTGTACAAACACATTTTTTTCATTGTCAAATAAGGACTGAGTTATTTTTAACTTTAAAATGTTTACAAAAGACCTTATGCACATGCATACATATTTGTAGATATAAAACATAACATCTGTGTAGTACTGTATGTGTATGTTGCATATATAGATCACAGAATCACAGAAATTCTAGGTTGGAAGAGACCTTTAAGATCATCGAGTCCAACCCATGTTCTAACACCTCAACTAGATCATGGCACCAAGTGCCACAATATTTATATAGATATATACATATATATACGCACACATAGACTGATATTTTGCTGTTAGGGGACTTCCCTGTCCAGCCATTCAGGAAACACTCTGACAGTGAATTTCACACCACCTGAGCTGGGATCGAGGTGCACATTCACCCCACTCACAGAATTAGATCAGGTTTTCCCTGCTGGATCTATCCCATAGCAGAGTCTCAGACATCTAGATCTTGTGATGAAATAACTAAACAAGAAAACAACAAATAGCAGTTTAAGCTGGGTGCCTCCAAGGCATTCAAAGGATCCCCTGGGATTTTTACACTGGCATTCTAAGCACAGGAAAGTCTGGAGTCATTGGCTCCTGCTCTGTCTCTGAGTGGCCAGTCCCCTGGCCAGACCCAGGTCCCTGAGCCCTTTCTTTATGGAATGGATTGGCAGTTCATGGCCTCCTGCTTCAGACTCCTCCTTGGGATCCTGCCCCACAGAACTCTGCTTGCAGTTCACACTGCAGCTTGTGCACTGAGCTACCTACACTGAACGTATTGCTCAAGGGTACATAAGTATTTATAAATATATATACATAAATATATATTAAACATTGAAGCTAAATCACCTAAGTAAACCTGTTTGAAAGTTAGGTGTGACCACAGGCTAAAGAAACAGGCTAAAACAATTAACTGCATGCTTTTTGCAATATTTTGTTGGTGGTTGATGGAATGAAAATGGAAACATCTTCTATTCTTAGTTTAAATTTTTCCTACAGAATAGATTAACGGTGTCATCATCAATATAATTCTTGATGCCACATTTACTTCCCAGAAGATGAGTGATTATTTCACTACTTTGCACAGAATCACATAATTACTAAGATTGGAAAAGACCTCTGTGACCATTGATTCCAACCTTTGGCTGATCATCGTCTTTTCAACTTGACCACAGCAGTAAGTGCCACATCCGGTTGTTTCTTGAATACTTCTGGGAATGGTGACTCCACCGTCTCACTGAGCAGTCCATTCCACTGTTTAACAACATTTTCTGCATAGAAATTCCTCCTGATGACCAACTTGAACCTCCCCTGGAACAGCCTGAGGAGTCATCTTGCCAGTAGTTGCCTGGGAGAAGGGACTGGCCCTCACCTGGCTACCACCTCCTTTAAGGGAGTAATAGAACATAATGACGTACCCTCTGAGATTTCTTTTCTCCGTGATAAACAGCCCCAGCTCCCTCAGCCACTCTTCATATCTTAATT